AAATATTTTTAAGCTAGGGAAGACCATAATTAGATTTGCTTTGTAGAATCATCTTTTGTTTTCTATGTAGAGAACTGAAGACAGGACTAGAAGTGGAGAGACTAACTATGAGGTGTAGTAGGTCAGGCCAAAGACAAATTAGAGTAGGGACAGTCAAGATAAAATGAGATTAAGGAAATACTTAGGATGAATACTACACAGGATTCATACTGAATATGGGCAAGTCAGGGAGAGGAGTGGAGGAAACAAATACGAACTTCAGTTTGATGAGAAACTAGGTAAATGCTGGTACCATTTAGTGGGAATGAGGGATATAGGACAGGGAAGCTGACAAGTCCAATTTGAACATGTTGAGCGTGAAGTACATCTGGGCCATCAGATAGGAAATGCCTAGCCGATTGGCAGATATAGAGGTCTGATACTCAGTACTGAGTTCTAGGCTAGAAACAGAAATTTGGAAGTCGTCAGCTTATAGGTTTTACAATAGTAATTCAAGTCTCAAACTAAATGGGACTGGCCAAGGGGACTCAAGATTCTGAGTGCAGATAACTCTTCCCAGCAATATCACTGTGATTTTCTCAGATAGCTTTACCTGGGAAGACTGTCTGCTTAGCTAGTAAATACTACTCAAATTGCAAACTAACTCTCAAGGGGTAACAAATGGCTTATGGAGAAATCCTTTCAAAATTCCAGTGTATCTGAATGGAAGTGGTAACAACACAGGTTATTTTTTCCCCAATGTACCTTCTCCTTCAATTTTGAAAACAATGCACTATTGTTGCTCTTTAAATCAAAAATTTACCTATAATCCTGCCTGGAGCTACTTCAAGAATCATTCCAAAAAATTTTCCAAAACAATCCACCAAAGTAACTATAATCTTGAACACTGCGTTCTAAATACTTAGTATGTCTTTATGAAGTACCTATTATGTGTATGAGTTGTCTTTTCAGAACACTGTCCAGAAACATCTCTGTGAAGACAGGATATGTTAGACTGACTGGCCAATCTGCTCCACCATAAGAAACAAATTAGTGATAAATTGCTAAACAAGTTGAGCTTTTTTAGTATGGGTGAAACACCACTGATTTGTGAGAAAGAAAAAAAGAAAGTTAATAATTTTCTTTTCATTTCCAAATATTTTGAGAATATTGTGTAACCACCACATTCATCATCTACTAGTACTTTATTATAAACCACTGTTGGATGAGAAACCACGTTAAAGTATTTGTTACTTATATGATTTACTACTCTAGTATATGTAAGTTCTGATATGAGTGAGAGCATAATTATAATTAGAAAATCTATTTTTATAACAGATTTACTCTCCAGTAAAAAAAAAAAAGTGAAAAACAATATTTAGGTAAAAATGTTGATAGATCAGATATTTTTGCAAAATTTAGAAAACCATCTATTCAATTACGATTATAATTCCAATTTTCAATTTGGTGGTCTGCTTTCTGTCTCTTCATTTATAAAAATAAAGAAAAAAAAAGTTGCATTACCAAAAAAGAAAACCAACATTTGCAGTTGCCTCAAGATTTTGCTTTGGCCACATTGCCCATTTTCCATAACTGAATTTCCCAACGACAGTCCCATGAACTTTGTCAGGCTGACTAGCCAAAGACACTATTCTCCTCTCCCCAGATGAAGAATTTAAGGGATGCTGAACACAACTAACATGAAATTGGGAGACAATGACTTGTTTTTAACCACAAAGGGCATAATAATACTTAGTTGAGCCAAAATTTTGGAAGAAAATAAGTTTTTTTCCAATATTCTGAAATATTTCATTGGCCATGTCAAAATGAGGTTACCCTGTCCCTAGGACAACCCTAATATTCCTGAGAGACACTCCCCAAACCTCACCATTCTAAACATGGTCTGTCATTCACCTCAGAGAGGTTATGGTGCCCTCCTCCGCTGACAAGAGACACATTAGGGGCTGGAGCCCTGTGCTTGGCTGCAGATCTTATTTTAGCAGTGGACACCTGATTTTCAAAGGTTACCTTTCCCAAATTAAAGGAAGGATAAGACGACAATGTGCGGGCCCCCTGTGCTGACTGCAGCTTGCTTACATAAGATCCTTTAAGTTTCTCCATAAGAAACCGTACTTCCAGGTGATAAATGGGTCAGATTCACAAAATATTGAAAAGTGTGGGAGGGAGGTTGGGAGAGAGGGAGTCTTTCTTTCTATTTCCAGAATGTGGTATAACTGGGATATTCACAAGATTCTGGTCTAAAGAAAGAAAAAAGCCATGAAGCATTAGAAAAGTGCTAATATAACAACTGGGAAACACCTCTGTGACTTCTTTTTATTTTTCTACTACTAAGTATTTTTTTTGTACTTTTTTCATTGCTTTAAATCACCTTCCTATTTGTCTCAACCTATCTCCTCTAAATGTAAAATACTGATAACTGCCACTGTGGTTATGAGATCCAGTGATATCTATGTTTAAATACTGATTCAGACAAGCATAATGGCCCAATGGACATCTGCCTTACATGAACACTCACTCCACGACTTACCTAGAACACATAGAGAACCTACTTGTACTGCCCTTGCTTTATTACAAGGGGTTATTACTATGACTAGATAAAAATTACCTCCTACATCATTTTCATTCTAGAATCAGGAATTCTCACTGAACACATGTTTCCACTCTACTCCCATTCTCCTTCTCTTTTGGGTGATACAACATAGACTGAAGTTCTGGGTCTCAGGCCAAGCTACAGAGGGGTGTAAAAAAACACAGTGACTATGAGAATGAGAAAAAAGAAGGAAAAATCATGTGTAGATGTTAGTTTTTGATGACTGAGGGACTGTGATCTAGCTTTCTTGCCTTCTAGTCTCACCTGCCTCTTCTCATGTTAGTGAAGGAGCTATCTCCTTTTTGCTTTCTCAGTGAAAACCATCAGTCTTATCCATCAGAACCTTTCTTCAGAATCCCAAATTAGCTTCAGTTTTTGCAATAAAAGTTGGCATGGAGACTTGTTTTAACCAGAACGACATATGTAACTAGAAATCAGGTACCCTGAAGTGTACATTCTTGACTCATTAAAGACAATTAATTAATAATCCATTTTGGCTCACAGAAGCTAAATATTCCATCATCGATTTCTTCTTCCATTTTTTTAAACAGAGACTTTTAAAGATACTTGCTAAGCACACTGATTAAGACTCCAGAGTCAGCTGACGCTGACTCTATCTTAACGGGCATTCTTTGCAGGCTCACTACCTATTTCCCCTTTTTTCCCTAGGCTGCTTTGTCAACTTATATGAAACATCTGTTTCTCAACCAATTACATTATATTGTTGACTACAGTGGCAAGATCAATGACAGAGACAGGTAGATTTTTGGTAGGTTGGCTCTGCATCCTGACAGATAATGACTTTTTTTTCCTGTTACTGTATCAGCAGCATCTTAAAACCTAGAAGGAATCCATAGAGGCCAACTTATCCTCTGTCCTCACACCGTTAAAGGATTAATTTTCACATTTACATTTGAGGCAGCTGAGGCTCAAAGAGATTAAGAGACTTGCTGAATATGTTTTTGTTAATAAAAGGCAATATATAGCCCACACTGCCATGCACCCTTATGCATGGTACTATATGCTGTTCATTATGCCCAGGAAAGACAATGCAAAAAGGCCTGTCTTATACTGTCCGTAAGTTTGCAATGCTGAAAAATTCATCATCTACACATAAAACACAAAATACTATATTCCAGTGAAAAAAATTCTACCAGTTCTCTGACATGGATTAAATTGTACGTTCTTTAAACCTTAAACTCCATTTTCATAAAACGAAGAAAATAGTAACTTTTTTCACTGAGTTTCTTGAGGACAAAATAGGCATAGAGAAAGCTCCTAATTAGTGCCTAGCATATATAAACAGTGGCTATTATTACTCACCAAATCTTGGTGATTTAGGTACTTAAATTTCTCTCACAGCTTGAAGATGTATTTAGGAAAAAAGAAGTACCAGGTAGCAAACATGAAAATATTAACCAAATAAACAGGAGACTAGGTACACAAGCAGCTTCATAAAGGTGTTAATAAAGCATTAACGATGGACTTAGACAAAAACGAAAGAAAATTGATGAGAAACTCCTGGTACTGAGATTGACCATCAGCCATGAAAACTTCTGTCTTACTAACATCGTTAGCAGCTATTTTCAGATTTAGTAGAAGTGACTCCATTATGTCTCTCGCGTTAACTAGAGGCAGCCTATCCAAAATCCGTGACCTCTTTAATGAACGTGAGCTCAGAGGCCGAGTCGCATGTTACGGAGGAGAGGCAGAATATAGTTGCATTGTCCAGTTCTATGTATTTTCCACACATGGCTCTTAGCAAAGAGACTAAGAACAACAAACTCTTCCAGCATGCGAATCATCTTCCCCACCAAAGAACCCAGAGGCGCGGGGGAGCCCTCGGCGTGGGCCTGCACTGGCCCCGGGGAGGGGCAAGGCGGGCGACGCGAAACCGCTTCTCTTACCTTCTAACGCAGTCTGGCTCGTTCTCTGCGGTGCAGGGGTAGCTTCTGGCGTTCTAGGCTTCTCTCAGCGATGTTTCTTCATGGATAGTTAGCTCTTACTCTGAGGGAAAGCCGGGACGAAAGGACCTAGTCGCCATCTTAATAACCTTACTCTGGCTCAGCTGCAGGTGATGCTCTGCACGCCTTCACTTCTCTTAAATGCTGTCGTCTCTTGATGACGTCACTCTGGCTCAGCTGCACGTGGTACTCTGAGCTTCAGTTCTCTGAAACGCTGTCTTTGCTTGATGACGTCACTGGCTCAGCTGCACATGATACTCTGAGCTCCTTCATTTCTCTGAAATGCTGTCTTCACAGGCATTTACGACAGCACACCACCTAATCACTTGTATTTGTAACCATTCTACCCATCCAGTTGTGACTGGCCAGTGCATGTACAAATTTACCCACCCTCTTTCTTTTCAACCCCTAAAAAATAAGCCCCATCCAATAATGACATTTTTTAATTTTTGGTAAACTAGATGCCTTTTATTGGTGGTATTTACATAGTTACACTTTCTACTAATGCCAGGGCTGAATTATGATGACAATAATTAGCCAGAATTTACAAGACTGCTTCTTTATAAGGTGACCATTAACATTCTACGTCAGCATTCTTTTAATAATGAAGATTCAGATCGGTTTTAACTTTGTTGGAACTCGTTTACTCCTCTGCTGATTAAGCAACCCGGACAGAGAGTGGTGAACTGGTGAGCCTCGGAGGCACCTATTGCCACCATTCAGAGGTCTGTCAACTCCTTTTTCATATCAGCTCTTATGCATATAGAAGAACAATTCATATTCTTGCTAAAGCTGGAAAAGTGAAGCATCCAGAGATACTGCTTTCCAATAAAGTAATAATGCTCCATTAGCTGTTTTGCTGTTACACGTTTTACCACAGATGGCTCTTCTTTAAGTTGCCTTCCCGTTTGTGGCCCTGTGATAAATTTTATCAGTGGTCAGCGGGACAGGGTTGCAGGCTGGGCAGTAACACAGTGGCTTTTTATCTAGCTTAGTTCTCTTTGCCATGCCCTCCACCCAAAGCGGCATTTTCTTGGTGTAATTTATGTTGTGGCATTTCTGTCGGTAGATGTGGTGTCAGCAATTTGTGTTCCTAATGGAAGTTTACATGGAAATGATATACTTAGCCACAGAATAAAATTAAAGATGGGATAAAACTAATAAAAATTTTAAGGCAAAGGTGTTTCTGCCTGCTCGTATCTTAAAAAAAAAAATTAAAGGAAGATTGTCTTTTGCTAGGAAAGCTTGTTTGCTAAAATACTGGTATAAGTAATATGTATAGAGTGAACCCATTCACAGTTAAAGATAAAATTGTGTCAGCAATTTTATTATAAGCTTCTACACTCCAGAGGCCTTATAGCACTAGAATAATATTTTAAATTAAGGTGATATTTAAAGTTTTAGAACACAGAATGTTTAATCAAAATTTGTGGCATTTGTACTTTGGGAAAAAATATTTACATGTGATGTATATTTCTGTAATGTTAAAAAAAAACCTCATTTCAGTGCAAATTTTATTGGAGAAATTATTTCCCTGAATAGTCTGAATGGTTTTTGTCCCTCGTATAGCTTACCATTATAAGATTTTCAATAATCCCATTGCAAGATATTGAGAGTATTTAAAAATAGCTGTATATTGCATTAGAAATGAAACAGAAGCATTGTTTAGACTTCTTAGCAAAAGATACGAGATAGCCAAGCTCTCAACTTCTCCATCTTTAAAAGGGCTTTTACGCAAATGGGATCCTTATTCATTCTGAGGGACAGCAGACAGCGGAGGCACAGTTAGTGTTCTTTCATGCACCTACAACCTCTCTGTTCCTATCTCATTCTCTTCCTCATAGAGAACACATTCCCAAGAAGCCAGCAGCACAAAGACACTGTGAATCCTGTAGACGGAGTTTCGCTGCATTATCATAGGAAGCTTCCTGCCATTGAATTAACAACAGGCAGATTTTATCACCTACATTTCCGTGTGTTTCAGAAGTATTTTTAAAAACATCTTAATGGCATTTTCCGCCTTAACTAAAACTTCCTAGTTGATTCATTCATCATGGACTGTATCTTTGAGTATGTGCTAATATTCTGAGCTGAATGTAAAATGATGGTTATGTTATGCACAAAGATGTTCAGAAAGGAGATTTATTTCTGTGAACGATGCCTGCATTTCTGAAACAATTTTCCTCAAGTCAAACTGACAAGAAACTCCATTAGTTGAAAATTTTCACCCTTTTGAAATGATTTAAGGACCTGTCTTTAGTAATTTTGATTAAAGATGAATGTTTTGAAACTTGGTCCCTATATCCAAGGTGTACCTACCCGCGCCCTGCTAGGATTCTGAATAGACAGCAGAGCAGCATACACAGCTCACACATACCAAATTGCCAGTATATGTATTCAGCTTTGTAAATATGCCTTTAAAAATACCTCACCATATTTAGCCACTCCTAAATATGTATTTACACAAGTCTACACACTGTAAGTGTTTACCTGGGAGACAGGAAAGGTCTCTCCAGTAAATAATACGGGTTTTATAGCCTTTCATGAAGGAATTTTTTGTTTGCTATGTAAAATAAAATCAGCTTCTCTCAGTTATAATTTAATAGAAATTTTCTTTCCCTGTAAATTTACTGCATAGCACTTGAGGTAAAGCCCTGCAATGTTTAAAAAAAAAAAAAGATAACACTGGTGTTAGCTTTGGGTACAGAGTGGCTTTGATTCATTTTGCTAAAGACTACAGAGTAGAAAATATGGATATGATTTCTGAAAACCAAACAAATAAAAATAACGTGTCAGATATATTTCAGATCTAAAGCTATCACATAATTAACTATTTTTTTAGGTTAAGAAAAAAATCAGAACCTCTAGGAAGAGCCAAATGATTTAAACTACTTTGCCCTGAACTTTCTAGATCACTGCTCAAATTTACACTTTACATTACATAAGTGGATGTAAGTTGAACATTTTCAACTGATAAGCAAAATTGAGTTAAATCTAAGATATGAACAAATTCTTACAGAAAACCAGCATTGCCTAGTACACCAGTCCAAGGACAGGAAATTTTCAGTGCATATTCTATCTTGCAAATATATGGCCTTGAGCAGTTGATCTGACTTACGCTTTTGAATTTGTAAATTAGGTTGTGATCTACCCTAGACGTAATGAATGATGGATCAGTACTCAGATATGAAGTACTGAATATTAATAGCAAAAAATACCTTTTTTAAAAAAGACACATTTTTCTCTCCTTTTTCTTAAATCATAATACAAAGTGAAATAGAACATGATGCTTGGAATGAAAGAGATGTCCCATTATTTGACAGGTTCTCACAATTCACTATCTCCCTCCCCACCTTTGCTCTCTCTTTATGAAGGCTTTTGAAATCACCTAACATTAAGCAAGTGACACTGGCTTTTGTCATATGGATATGGAAATGGGTCCCAGAAATGGACATGGCTTAATTTGGAGTCCTTTAAAAGTTTTTAAAAGAGGTGATCTCTCAGAAGGGATCATTCTCCTTATCAGCTCACTTCCTTCTAGAACAAATGTGCAGGATTTCCAGCAGCTTGTCTCTCGAACCACTGAAGATTTTCCTGTCATCGTGGTCTTAGAGACCTACAAGGAAAGAACAAAAAGAGAGAAGCCCCTTACACAAATTCTAAAGACAACTAATAAATTACAGCTTTGTATTTAAAGGAGACTCCTCTTCTCTTTCTTTGTTCTGCGTGTTTCAAGAATTCTCTCTTTCAGGATCTTTCTGTGCATGGATGCCTATGCACAGAATGTATGAGTTTGATTTATGCTGAGGAGGTGGGAAATGTGGGCATTTCTGGCAAGTCCAGATATGGAAACATTGCAGGCTTTTTTCAGGATAGAAACACCAACTTTTTTAATGGGTCCAGTTATTTTACCCTTACATAAAATGCCTGTTGAAATTTGTCAATGCAAAACAAGTGCTAATATGCCTTCCTCTCTCATCTCTAAATGCAGCTTGGAAGAGATCAAGTTTATACACATATACACACACACACATATTTAAAAAGTAGGTGTGAAAATGTTTACCTCTCAAATTCAGATATTTTAAAGTACTTAGGTTTTTTTCTTTCATTTATTCTCAAAATGTTGAAAGATGCATCCTATTATAAAAGATTCAAACACTCCTTTAAAAATATGATTTGTTTTACCTTTGAATGTGCTAGAAATTTAAATGCAATGATATGCCTGAAGAACATGGAATGAGGGGGTTTGCAACTAGGTCACCAACTCAAATTTGATCCAGAGTCCTGAATACTCTACAGCTGTCTATTATGAGTATCTAAAATGAATGCAACAAATAAATATCTGATTATATTTCCATGCAAATTTTATACCTACTCTGCTAATTGAAATGGAGCATAATGTACTATTTGTGTATTCAATTTACACTTTTGAAAATTTTTCTGTATCATCTTACATTTTCACAAAAGGAATAGGAAATCCACTGTCATGCCGATAATATCCACGTATGTTTCAAAGGACACAAATAATATACTCCCTACCTTCTGGGTATGAACCAGGAGGATATAATTCAGCTCCATCCTGGATTTTCACATACTTCTGGACATGGCAGATTAGAAGGCTCCTACGTACAGCACCCTGGCCATGGTGGATTACGTTCCAGGGTACTCACCTAAGAAACGAGCACAATTGCTGACCCCCACGTTGGAATCTAAGTCTTTTGGAAGAAGCACTGCCTTCAATTTCTTAATATCGCTCAGACATTTGGGAAATACAATTTCTGTTCACTTACTTCTGACCAGCCACTCCACACCTTTTTCTCACTGAGACTCTGGCACAAGTGCAGAGTGCAGAGTAAGAACAAACACCTGTTATGCTAAAAATTACTCCTCCATCTCCTTGCCTACTTCCCTGGAAACAAACATGTACACTTGACTCTCTTCCCTGAGGGTTCTTTCCTGAAATTATGACAAGATTTCAGAATTCTTGAGTTTTGCTGGAAACTGAGACCTGCACTTGTTGAGGTGAGAGGAGAGTGCAAAAGGGGCTGAACGGGAATGAAATCACAACACTTCATGTGGCTGCCAAATGTAATCTTAGAGGTAAAGTCTCTAAAATTCCTAGGTGGCAGTCCCAATCTAGTCTGTACTGGTGAAATCAGCCCTAATGTACTGTGCTTAGATCTTAATGCTACCTTGTAAGACTGCACAGTATTCAAGGGAGAGAATGTAGCTTCATAGGGGAAATACAACCATCTCCTATAGAGCTCAGTTAAAAGCACTGGGACTGCTTAGAAAAAAGAAAATAGAGGGAATTTGAAGTCCCCTTCAAATATCTAAAGGACTGTTAAATAGAAGGCAGGTTAGGGTTATTCTGCACGGAAGCATCATGGGATAGAGTACGGCTGAATATAAGGAACCTTATGTGAGTTGTGCTCTCCCACGAAGGAAAAGTCCCTGCCTCAAGAGAATGAAGACAGCACCCAGGTATAGGCTGGGAACCAGGGCGCTGACCTTGGGGGACTCCAAGGGTGCTCATGAAGCAGTCTCAGGGGTTATGAGAGTCATGCTGTATGGTCAGGCCACTCATGGAAGCTCTCTTGCTCTTTGTGCCTCCCTAGCTTTACCAGTCCCTGCTCTGCCTACACCCTACTCACATGAATGTGTTTGTCCCCAGCCCCAGCCAATGATTGTTCTAATCTTAGGCCAGAAAGGCTCCACCTGCTAGTTTATTAAAGGAAAACATCTGCCCTCGTAATGATCATTAATCTGAGGGACCGGGAGGGATGTGCCCCAGTTGCTGGTTTCCCTGGTAACTGATGAGCCAACTTGATGTCAATTTCCCTGTAAATGGTAGCCTCCTTGTCCCAGAGCAGTAAAGTTTACTGCCTGTCCTGTCTGCCCTCTGCCACCGTACACAGTAGGGCGCCGCTCCAGGACCTCTTGTTTGGGAAGAGTAAGATTCTTTGCCCAATAAGCTGTTGATGCCTCTGGCTCCTTCTTTGGTCTTGAGGCTGGGCAACCACAAGGCTTGCAGACCTGTTGGGTGTAGCACAGCACATGCCAACTAGGCATATCTTCATTTTGGTCCTTTCGAAAACCCAGGATTTCTTTCAAGGAGGCTGAATTCCCTGCAGTAAATGTGGTTGTAAAAAAGAACATGTGTTCTACAGAGATTCCCTGGTTGGGAATACTGGCTCTTCCATTCTACTATTATGTAAATTTGAGGAAGTCAATGAACCTAGGAATCTCAGTCGTAAAACTGAGGATTATTATTCCCATCTCACAGGGTAGTTATGAGCTTTGAAAATCACCTGCATACTGCCTGGTGTATGCAGTAGGTATTAATTGCTGCAGGCGCATAATTATATGGTACATAAATACTGAGGCCTAAAAAGCCAGCTTCTAGCCATCATCGGGCAGGATGGTCATACTGCAGTAAGTTCTGAACATAGTGAGCTAGGGTGATATATGTCACTTTCCTACTTCTAAAAAGGCTCATTCTTCCATCAGAAAGACATACATTTATGTCAATGTGGAAAATGAGAAAAGATCCTACTGTGGAAATTGTGCGATAAACACATAAAATGTAGTAAATGAAATATAGTCACAGTGATGAACTTTATCAAAATTTACATGAGATGAATAATGCAAAGGCAGAGGAAATTATTCTCTACTATCAGCAGAAATCGTCTACATGGCTCCCTCTTAATTTTAAGATTCTTCTAGTAAGGTAGAGTCTATCTGATTATTATTACTCTATCTTTTTAAAATCACATCACCTAAGGATGGCAGCACTGGTCACAAGGACAATGAGAATCATCTGGTTTCTTTACTAAAGAGATACTTTCCACTCTCGGCATATGATTCTTAAATTCCCAAACTAAAAGTTTTGATTTTTCCAACCAGGAGGGTGATTATTTCCACATAGAAATAGTTGGTGAGTTTGATCCAATTGAACGGCAGAGTTTATTAACCAGCTGTTCTGTAAAATGTAACCCTCAGCTATAATTATTATATATAATTACATCTGTATTTAATCTACTTTCAGGTATTAAGCCTATATTTAACATGGCTACTCCTTTGAAATTGGAATCAAAGATCTTTGATCTGGTCAGTCTTCCCCACACGTATGGGGTATTTCTGACATGAATTTGGACTTTTACCATCCCTTGAAGGACACTAACAGTAGCTCTGGATTCTTCTCAGTTTTGACAGGAACATGCAACTCACACGGAGTTAGTAGTATTAGTTACAGTTCCTACTAAAATGATTCTGTATGCCCAAGAAAGGATGACTAGATTTGATGGTACATTCACTCCTAACTTAGATTGGTAACCTTCAATATACCAGTAAGTTACGCAGTATTTTCAACGGTTGAGTTCCTTCAAGCAATCTGGTTACATAACTTAATGCAGCATCCAAAGATGCCTGACTTTCAACCTGTGAGTTTGTAATGGGTGGTCGGGAGCTTGAATTCCAGGAACACAATTCTCTTGCTCTAGCACAAGCGTTCTTACACACAGGAGAGGGGGCAAATTATCTGAAGGCGAAGGCGCTGGGACAGCCCTGGGCTTCCTGCCCTACCTTCATGTGGCAATAATTTCCCTACACAAGAGGCAGAGGGCCCCTCCTTGACACACAGTGTCTGCCTTGCCTCCCACACAGAAACCCACAAAAAAGTCTGACCCAGCGCATATTAAGAAAAAAGCCCTGACTTGACCACACAGCAATTCTGGAGCATGAGCAGTAGCCACTGCCATGCTCCTGGCAAGAGTTTCATTGCATCCAACTGAAAATGGGCATAATAAAATTCCTTTGTCAAGAGTCCCGGTGGAGTGTTGGCAATTGAGAGCATATTCTCCCCCTGGTAGGAACGACTATGGAACAGCATGAAATCTATGCTTTGGCAGCAAGGGAACTTGGTGCTAACATTTTTCTAAACTGAAACAAGACGGATGATTTGGCCTGATACTTACAAGTTATATGATATGTTAAATCACCTCTAAAAATAAAAACAAAAGATTTGAAGAAAGTTGTGAATTTTACAAAAGGAGAAAGATGGTTAGATAAGCTTTTTGCTTGTAAAAAAAATAATTTTAAAACATGTTGAGAAGCATGAGTGGAGGAAACAAAAATACAGAATTGTGAATACTGAAGATGTACTAGCGTGTTTAGAGTTCAAGGACTGGGGGCTCTGGACAAGTTCCCATAATAAATAATAATTCAGAGAGTCTTTATTTGTAATTAAAAATTTCTCTTATCCAGTAAGTTATTACAGAATTCAGTAACTACCAGGCCCTGATCGTAGGCACCAAACAAACACAAATATAAAAAGAGCCTGCCCCACAAAAATCTATTCACAGATATAAGGTATAAACCCTCTGTATAGCAAAGAATAAGCACTAAAACTAGAGACATTTGACTAAAGGCATTTAAAACAAAACTGTTCTAGAGAAACATTCAGTTTTCTTTTCCAGTTTCTCAGTGTAATGCTGGGTCTTCACTTTACCCTCTCCACCGCGTTGGCTTGCTTCGTTGGTCACAGACACTGCTTCAGTTTCCTACAAGGTCAGGATCATTATCACTTCTCTTTTTCCTAACTAGCCTCTAACCCACTGACCCAAAGAAGGACATGACAGCCCAAGAATAACACAAACATGAGGCTTCTTCCTTAAGGAACGTTTTGGGATCTCTCTCATCAGAATATCGTACTTTCTCAAAGGACCCAAATGAGTACAGAGGAGAGCTTTGCCCCTGGGCACCACTAACCTCAGGGAGCAGATCCAGGGGAGAGAAAGAAGGCAGCAAAGCTTCCATTCACTGAGTTCCTGGTACTATGTGACAAAGCCACTTCACTATCTGTCATCTAATTCAATCTCCAACTGTATTTGATTTAAAAAACACGATGTTTACCAGATCGAAAATCTGGAGATGCTTCATAAGAGGCAGGGCAGAGATATATAGAGTGTGTATGAGCCATGCAGAGTGACAGAAATAGAGCACAAAAACATGTAAATCTTTTCCTTAATATGCCCAAGATTTTAAAAGTAAAATGAAGAACCTGTCAATAGGGCTGAAATTGAACCGCTTAAACCAGGCTCAGTGTTTATAAATGAAGAAGAGCCAAACCAATAATAATATTGTGGTATTGATTCTTTACAGTCTCAGTCACACCCACCTCATCACTTAATATATTTTTTCTCCTAATATGTGTTCAATCCTATTTGATGGCTTGGCTCAGAGCTTAGATAATGGAGCCAAACCATATCCCTTTGGTTGGTCTTAAGCTTGGCTGGACTTTCAATGACTTCCACATATTAAGAGCCACTCTCACAAAAGGCTTAATATAATGAAGCCACCTACCTAACAAGGAATAAGAAGTAGCATTTCCCGAGTAGTTCTGTGAGCCAGGCACTGTGCCCAGGGCCTGACCCCAGTGAGTCATTTAATCCTCACAGAATGCTGAGGTAGGTAGCCCCATTTACAGATAAGGGAATTGAGGCTGGGAGGTTAAGATCTTCCCAAGGTCAGAGTTTGCAAGGGTAGGACCTTGATTCTGTCAATTATATTCCAACTGCTGCAGGTTCACAAGATGTTGTTGTGCTCTACTTTGAGGCAAATTTCCTGACAAATTAGGATTGCCACTTTCGGAAATTTGGAAAGCTTCACATTGCCGAATCATGTGAAGACTGGACAGCATTTCCTGGGGACCTGATTGGGAAATAAATTGCTCACCTTCACTTGGTCCAGAGGTCTGGCGTTCACGGACACACCAATCACTAAGCCCCCCACCCTCTGCCACCAGCATCTCCATCGGCAGCAAGAAAAAATTAGGACTGCTGCACACCTAGACTGCAGATTATTTTTTGTGACTGGTGATTTTTAAATTTTTTTCTTAATGTAGTCAGTGGAGTATGAGATCTCCTGTATGCCAAATATTGGGGGAGGGGTTATGCACTGTGTGAATTACCTCAGGCCAAACCCAAAATAGCCCTGGTCCTCCCATCCCTGAACTTCAAAGCCAGCCCATATCCCCTGCCGCTGCTCCTGCTGCGGTGACTCTGCAGTGGTCACAGGCTGCAGCCTGGGTGGTCCGCCATACCCTGAGCCAGGGAGCAACCACATGCCTCATTCTGGGATGGGAAGGCAGTGGAGAAAAAGATAGAGCTGATAAACACACCCTGGTTCCCCCAGCTCCCCCTCGGGGAAAGTCAACTCTATACATGCCAACTGTGCTCACACAAGGCAAAGCTTTTAACAGTACGGCACTGTCCCCCACAGCCTAGGGTGTTCCTTCCTGACTCCCTTGTGGTGACAAGGGAGGCCACATGGCACCTCATGGGTGGTGGGAAGATCATAAAACTGGAAGGAAAGAGAACCAAGTTCTGATTCCAGATATCATTCAGAAGCCCAAATTCCCAGCACTCTGAGCCCACAGCTGATATTCCTCTGGGTGTTGGGCACTAGGGCTTATTCGTCTGTTTGTTTCCTGAAGATGGGAAAAATACAAAATATTTCTCCCATATTTCCCCAGCCCCTGTTAGAAAGCACTGATCTGCAGCAAGTTTCAGTCCTCAAGACAATTCAGCGGGAAACCAGCTTTCACATCTTGCGGAGAGCAGGAAGGAGATCTCAGGGAGGACCTAGGCTCACCTCAGGCACATCTCTTCTGTGGAGAGAGAACAGAAGGTTTTTACACTCGGGATAACTTTTCAGCAGAATCAGGAACTGAGCAGTGACATTATCCCCGCCGTGCACTGGAGAATCCTCTTTCTCCAGCCTGTAATGGGGCTTTAATCTGAGGGACATTATCCGGAAAAGCCTGGGAGAAACAGACACCAGCCCATGCAGCTCTGGGGGGAGTTTCTTTTCTTTATGAAATTCACAAAGGAATCAGTCCTAGGATCTGAAAGAATACTAAGGTTTTTTAAATTTAAAAAAAAGGCGGGGCAGCCTCTGGATGTTACAGAGTTGGGAGGAAGGACTGGCTTTTCTTTGAAACTAGAAAATCCATTTGGCACCTTTGTCCAACAGACACAAGGAAAAGATCCCGTGGTCGTAAGTTGTTTTATCTAATTTTTCCCCTCCTGGTTTCCTTTGTTGTGAGTTCCAAGCTGCTTTGCACCCTTCCATCCTTTACAGCTATTGAATCTCTTCCACAGATCTGTAAAAATAAACAGGCCATTTCCAGATTACCAGCCAGCAACACCACATCCTGTGTTCGAGCTGATGATAAATAAGAGTGAGGCAGGTAGTCCCCCAGACACATCTGGGAAGCATCCTCTTCTCTGAACAGAAGCACACAGCATTCAATTCTAGCCAAAGCTTGTTTGGCCTTGTGGTCTGCTGAGTTGAAATGGTTATGCTATTTTTTTTCTGAATCTAAAGATTATGTTTTCCCTCTGACATTTTTCCTTTTTAAAAAAATTTTGGTATATATACAAAAAAAAAAATAACACCCTGAGGGAAACTCTATTGGCTTTAGCCATAAATCCCAGGTGTATTCTAATTAGATTTAAAACTTACTTTAAAAAAAAAACCTTCAAGTTGAAGACAGCTAAAGCAACTAGCAGCCACAGTTTGGGCTAATTAACTCTTCTGGTAGCATCTAGTGACTAGAAGCTGTGGTCTCAAATATTCTGTGATGATGTAGCTACTCAGGATCTTATCTGCTCTTTTAACTTCTTTTAAATTAATCAGCTTTATAATGATTAACAACCTGAAATTATTTTTAGCTCTTGTTCCTATTTATTCTTTTCCCCTTCCATTTATGTATTCTGCACTTTCTCCCAGTTAAACCCTTCAATGTCTGCTTAAAATACAGGAATATCATGAAACCAGCATCACTCTCCTCCCCACACATGTGCAAACAGACACTGATGGGGTAAGCGTAGGGAATCATCTTTTGCATCCCGAATTCAGCATTCTCAGAAGCAAGGGCAGACAGAAGACAAGCAAAGAAAGGGAAAAGTACTGGCAGACGCCACTGTTTCAGAGAACTCACATTTTGCTTCCCAGAATCTTAAGCTGTTCTTTCTCACCTTTCTCAACTCCTCAAGGGAAGGCTATTGCCACTCAGTACAGCCTCTTGGTAGCTGTATAAGGAAAACCACACCTGTGGTATACGGCGGCCACCAGGAGGGACCAGCTATAGATGCCCTGACCATCCACAGCTGTCCATCCTTCTGGGCTAGCCTGTGACAGCCAGCAAGTGCGCCTGGGAAGACTGCAATAAAAATGCACTCGATCCTACTGACTTCTCTCCCATCACCCTGTGAGGGAAGGTTTCCTTTCAGGATGACCCAAGTTTTATCCAGCTTACAGTTTACATCGTCTGATAAGACTATTCGGAAGACTTAACACAAGAAATAAAAATCTCTGTTCTTCTAATGAGGAAAGAGAATGTTGGCCCAGAAATCAAAAGAGCTGGCCTCTAATCTCCTCTTTGCTGTTAACTAGTTTTGCGACTTGGGAGAAAACAGTTTCTTCACAGGAACGCTAAGCCAGAAGATTTCTAAGGTCTTCCAACTACAAAGGTTCTGTGAAGGGACGTGTACTCCGAATTGCCCTTTGGAAGACCAGCTGCTAACCTCTGTGCAGCTATAAGGTAGAGGAATCAGACTCAAGGAAGCCCAAATTTACATACCATAGGACCTTCAGGGAATTTTTAAAGATACACGTTCACTGCTCTTTTCTGAAATCAAGAGCACTCTTGCATGCCACTGCTGATTGTCAGACCTCCGTGAAACAAAATACCATTTTTCTAATACACAAATCACCAATCAGAAGGTTAAACTGAGACTTTCTGGTGAAGCAAGAAAGCAACTCTAAAAGTTGAACTAAAATGAATAAATATGACTACGGCAATAGAAACACCAAATGAACATTTTAGTCCTTATTTTGTGCCAGACACTGAGCTAGGGATTTCTGCATGTGTTATCTCTGCTGAGCATGATAAACACGCTCTGTCCCCTCATTCTGTTCTCCAATTATCCCCCCAGGCCGGCCTGCCATATGCGCACCTCCTGCACAGAGATGTTGAATAAGGCAGGACCTCTATGCACAAGCACACCAGATCAGTCCAAATCCACTCTGAGGACTTCCATGGCCCTAATCTCAATGCATTACTTCCTAGTGGCAGGAAAAGAGCTCCGTATTTGTCAAAAAGAAAAGTCTCAGTGTTTCCTGCCTTTTCCAGGTGCACTTCTTTCAAGTTTCTGGGAGTATTTTATGTACACAAGGAGGAACACTCTGATGTCTGGATCGATATCTGCAAAAGCTTTTAAGCTATAATAACCATGATCTTCAGCACTCAATACATTCTGACAAGACCCCCCTCTATGTCAAGTGAAGTGGGTAAATTCTTAGGCAGGGAGTTTAAGACCCACTCTTTGCCTACTAGTACTTTCAGTAGAAAAGCCCGTAATCATTAAGCCAAACGCAAGGGGACAGGCATTCCCAATTATACAGTTTTAACTCCCGCTAAGTCCAACCAGCACAAACTTCATCACTACATTGTAGTGTTGCTAACTAATGAGCTGAGTTTTGGCAGCCCATTAATCTTAATTTTGTAAACATTGATTTTTTTCCTTGGGTTTTGAATGGAGCTAAAATTAGCATTTTTGTTGTTGTTTTCAGGGTTTTTTTTTTTTAGTATAACCTCCATTTCAACTTCCTGCTACTGGATATTTTATTACAACAAACAGCTCTATCCTTGACCAAGGTCTAAAAAGAAGTCAGAAGAGTTCTGGGAATAACGGTCCCATCTCTCATCTTGTTTCACACACTTCCCCTGTCCCTTCTGGGACGTGGAGCCGCCATTGACTTCTAAGGAAATTCACTTGAGGCTCAATTAAAACTATGGGGCACAGAGAAGAAGAGGCATGTCCTCACCTTTTCCTCCCCAGTAAGATCTGTTTCCAAGACCAGTCCTATATAGTAGGACTTTTGAGGGCTTATGGTATAAGACAAAACTGGGAGGTTCAAGCCAGCTCTCATTTGACAACTGCTGGCTCATCTCTAGTTTCTCTCGTAAGTAAAAATTAAAACTGAAAGAATCTCTCCCACCAGGAGAGTGCTCAGGGCTTCCAATTTTCCCCAACTCTCTCTGGCTTCTTAGTCATTGCCATTTAGCAGACACAGTTTACATAATAACAGTTTTATTCGTGTAGGAGACACGGGGTATGAACTGCAGTGTTTAGCTAAGCTACCTGAGAAGGTCATTTCACATCACTCATTTCTCACTGTGGGCTCCCCATAGCACAATCTCACTCAAAACAGGCCATAGGCTCTCTGAGATAGCATATTCTAGAAGGCTTCGAGCCCCTTCCCTTTATTTTCCTCTGGTCTACCATATTGCAGCCTCCAAGACTTACTCTTCGTTTCTCTACTGGACCCCTTCAGTCTTCATATTTCTGCTGACAAAATACCAGTCCAATCACTGAGCAGCATCTGCTTACTTATGACAAACCAAACTATCACATTTCTTCTTTTGAAGCATCCTGACATTTATCACTATCCTTTGAGATTTCATGTTACTCATTGAAAGTCTAAAAGCCATCACCAAATCAGTCTTAGGAATTAAAAACAGCATTTCCACGCAGAAGGCTGTACTTGTGGTGATGAAGGATAAGACCCCAATGTCGGCTGCAGACAGACAGGTAGACATCTCAGTTCTGCTATGTTCCAGCTGGGCATCCTTGGGCACATTACATAAGCTCTCTGGCCCTCATTTTTTCCCATCTGCAAACTGAAGATCAGATAGTCTCTACTTCAAAGGGTAGTTGTGGAGATTAAATGAGATCCTGTGTGTAAACCCTTAGCCTGGTGCCTGGTGGACAATAAATTCTTCATAAATGTTAACTACGAAAGTTTTAACTGAAAGGTATATTTCATTGCAGTTTGAGAGTTACCACCTTACTGTACTGTCCCATTTTCAGAAACATTCTATTCTATTGTCTGAGGAACATGGAAAGGTACATATATATGTATGTACATGTGTGTGTCTATACACATATTTGAGATTTCTCTTTTACTGACCTGCCACTAAATCTGAAAACACATAGTAAATGCCTACATTTCATGAGATGCTGTCAATCAGCACTATGAAAGGTAGGAAGGGGCAGGAAACATGGTTCCTGCCCTCTGAAATCTAGCTGAAAGAAAGGACACACGCTCAACAAGCCATCTCACAGACCTATACCAGTCATTGGTTAAACAAGTGGCACACACAGTTCTTTGAGAGTTAAGACAACTCCTGCCTGGCAAAGTCTAGGAAGGATTCAGGGAGCGAGGAGAATTAAAGCTGACGTTTGAAACATGGACCCATTTAGACCTAATAAAAGAAGTAAGGTGAACATTACTAGCAGGGAGATTTCAGAGACAGTGGCCCAGAGTCTGGACAGACTAGAGCATGTCCAGCAGACAGTGAGGTGCTGAATTTTGCCAGAGCAGGGCAGGAGTATTTCATACCTACATCTAATGGAAGACAGAACAGGATCAGCTGATGTTGAGTTAGTTCACTGGGAGCGGGCTTTCGCTTGAACTTTGCTGTTGTTGCTGTGGTCCAGGCATGACAAGAAGTTGCATCTGGAGAACTATCTCCTAGCAACTGACAGTGGTTCATTAGGACTCTGCGTTGAGGATTCTGAGGCCACTGGCTCTTAGGGA